CCCCGCGTCGGGCTCTGTGCTGACAGCTCAGAGCCTGGAGCCTGCTTCGGATTCTGTGTCTCCCTCTCTCTCTACCCTCCTCCACTCACACTCTGTCTCTCTCTCTCAAAAATAAAAAAACAAAAAAAAAGTGTTTTAGTTCAGCAAACATGCTAGCCCTTTTCGGCGGAGCCCTGCCCAAGGCTGGAAATGGAGCTTCAGAAATCCTATTTCCATTAGCCCTGCCTCTTTTAGACATTTACTCTCAGCTCCGCCTTTCCTGTTGACACCTAGCCTACGCTCTCCATCTTAGTAAACAGCATCTCCGGCCTTCTAACTGTCCAGGTCCAAAAGCTTCAAGTCATTCTTGATTCCTCACCTCATATCCAATCCATGAGCAAGGCCTGTCAGCTAGACTTTCGAAATCTATCCAAAATCTGCCTGAGCAGCGAGGGACTTCCTTTCTTCCTGGTGTAAATGTCCCTGTTGACCATATGACATATTGCCAAGAGAGGCCAGAGGTCAGGAGAAATGAATGCAAGTTTCAGATCTGCAACATCGTGATGGGTAGTAAAATAATAGGCTGCAACCTGTTCATTGCTTATTATGTTCCAAGTACTAAGTCCTTAAGGTGGATTATCTTATTCACTGTGTGACCATGGACTGATGACTTCACCTCTGTTTCTGTTGTTTCATCTCTAAAATGGAGAGGACAGCAGTCCATGGGGAGGCTGTGAGGATGCAGTGAAATAACATACGTGACAGTCTTTGAAAAAAGCAGCAAGGGATATATGTATCCCATATTTTTCTCAAAGAGCCAACATGATCATCTTCAGGCCTTTGAAGAGTTCACATTGCATAGAAGAGGGATGTTGGCAAAATTCCAGCTGATGGTGAATTTGATAGCCCAGCTTTGTGAGGGCAGAATGTGAGGCCCATGGTGGTGCTTTATCTGTCACCTGAGATCGGGGTGTCTGTCTCCTGGCACAAATGTGACACCTGCTGCAGGGGAAACAGGCCCTGGCAGCTGGCACTCTGGGAGGAGAGGTCTGGCCAGGAGCAGGAGGAGTTCACTTATCAGAAGGCAAGTGACAAGTGTCAATAGTTAAATCAGCACATTCTTTAGATCCAAGTTCCCCCCCAGGGGGCAAATCAATGCCTGGGTATCCACTAGCAGGGTTAATACAGAGGCAAAGGCACGGGAAAAGGGATTGCCAAATGGCCAGCACACAGCCCAATGCCTGCTATGCCCTTGGTGGATATTAATGGAGGGAAGGATGGGCAGTGGGCGGGGAACAGAAGGTAATACCCAGGAAACAGATGCAGTATTATCCGTTGTTCCACTGCCACTGAGTTCCTGCTGGCCCACAGCCTGCTTGCTTCTCTTACAAAATTGTCCAGGGCCTTGAACTTGTATCTGACTTCCCGGTCCCAAACCCCAAACTCATTGAGGAAGGAATGCGTGTTGAGTACTTACAGTGTGTCAGATTACTTGCTCAAGCAGTCAGTCACCATTTATAAGCAGTAGATAGACAATTGGGTCTGACCCTGAAGACTTGCTTCTCTTTCTCCTATACTCTGAGGTCAGCAAAGGGAATTTTCTATTCCTGAGCTTACTAAAGCTTGGGCTGTTGACTGCCCCATCTCTAAGTATCTCAAAGCCATCCCAACACCTGTGACCAGGGGCAGGGCCTGGTTGGCTTTAACCTTACTGATTCATCCCCTTTCCCACAGTTGATTTGTCCTTGCTCACTGAGAGAACCACCTCTTACCTTCTTTTACAGAGACATAGAGCCAGACACTAAAGGTGATAAAGGCAGATTTTATTCAGTACATCACGATATAGGAAAGAGACCTCAGGAGAGAACTGAACTCAATTCCCAATACAGCAAAGGCAGTGGGGGGTTTATAGCCAGCATGCAGAGTGAGGGCGGCAGGAGATGGAAAATTACTAAGGGGGAGACATCAGGGTAGGGGGGTTCTTGCTAAAGGCAGGCTGAGAACTTATATATCAGGGATCGGAGATGAGGAATTGATCAGTTATCAAGGATAATCAGATATCAAAGGTGGGGGAACTTCCGATAAAAAGACTTAATGGGATTCTTGGGGCTCCTGGGTGGCTCAGTCGGTTAAGCGTCTGACTCGATTTCGGCTCAGGTCATGATCTCACGGTCATGAGAGTGAGCCCCAAGTTCAGCTCTGAGCTGGGCATGGAGCCTGCTTGGGATTCTCTCTTTCTCTCTGCCCCTCCCCTGCTCTTGTGTACCCTCTCTTTCTCTCTCTCTCAAAAACAACAACAAAAGACTTCACAGGATTCTTCCTAAACACTGGACTGGGCCAGCAAGGACAGGGCCCAAGGAAGAGGCCTACTCAAAAGGAGGGCTCAGAGGAGCCTGTCCAAAATTTGGTCAAGGAATCTTCATTGCTTCCCAGCAAATGCCAGGACAGGGCATTCTGAAGACCCACAATGATAGTTCACTGATTTCAGGTTAAGTTGTCTCACCTTTGGTGTGACTTCCAAGAGTCAGAGAATTTTTCTGGAACTGAAAACTAGTCTGAGAAAGGATGTGCATTTGAGACATACTGTAACTCACATCACTAGGGGAAGTACTGTTTTTATTAGTATTTCCTCACAACTTTGTCCAGAGGTAGATGGCTTTTCATTCTAAGAACAAAGTCAAGGAAGAGATGACCCAATCATTCAAAGGCAGAAGCAAGGACTGCCCACCCCTCCCCACAGTGTGACTCACTCCCCACCCAGGCACTGAAGCTCCCCAGCCACCAGCCAGCCACTCCTTGGGCTTGGCAAGGGATCGGGCTCTTAGATTAGTTGTGTCTGAGTTGGGATTAACAGATGAACAAACAGCTCTCTCCTGAGCTCATCCAGAAATCTAGGGTGTAGGTCTGGGAGCATTCTTTCTCTTCCTCCCTCTCATAGCCTCACCTCACTTCACTGGCCCCAGAATCCTGCTTCCTCAGAACATCCCCCTGCACTGAACTAGTCTGACCTGTTCCTGACTGCCAGCTAGCCAACCATGGAAACAGGAGAGACCTTGATGGCAGAGGGATAAACCTGCAGAAGTCCCCATAAACATAACATGAGCAGAGGTTTAACGTCTGTGCAGAAACCCCGAGACACAGATCCCCAGCTGAGGCCTCTGTCCCTGGGACTCTTTCAATGTCTGTGCCAAAAATGCCCACAGGAGAAAATGCTGGCTTTTGAGACAGGGAGGCTCTGTGTTCTGATCCTGGCTTTGAAACAACTAATTCTGGGGGCCTCCCAGGTAGCTCAGTCGGTTAAGCGTCTGACTTTAGTTAAGGTCATGTCATGATCTCATGGTTTTGTGGGTTTGAGCCCCGCATTAGGCTCTGCACTGACAGTACAAAGTCTGCTTGGGATTCTCTCTCTCTCTCTCTCTCTCTCTCTCTCTCTCTCTCTCTCTGCCGGTTCCTAACTCTCGGTGTCTGTCTTCTTCAAAATTAACTAATTAAAAACAAAAACTAACTCTGTGACTTTAAGCTCTGAGCTGCTCTTCCCCATCTGTAAAATGGAGGTAATCAGACCTGGCATATCTCACAAGATCCCAAAGGGCCACACCAAACATAACTATAAGAAAAGCATCCCCCCACCCACCGCAATCTCCCTGCTAGAGTCAATTACATAAACACTTATGCAAAATGTTGATGTCCACCTTCTGCCGGCGCCACATTCATAGACTCTGCTCTTTTCTCTCTGTCTGGTTTGCTGTATCTCTACTGGTGCTCACATAGGGGTTCCTATGACACTTCTGCTTTGGGCCAGCTATTGGCTCCCAGTGGTCAGGGACCGTGAGTCTAACTTCTTTTGTGCAGCACCCACTGCAGTGTCTGGGAGCATCTTGATAGAGCTGTTAGAGAGAGAGTAGTAGCCCACTGGGAATCTGAACGCTTGAGTTCCAGGCTTAGCCTTGTTGCTATTTGGTGAGTGAGCCTAGAGAAGTCATTTGACCAGCTGGGGTCCCATTTTCCTCATCTGAAATGATGACCAGATGATCTTGAAAGCCTCTGCTAGCTCTTAATAGTCTATGATTTGGGTTCATGGCCAGCAGTGATTTGGTTTCACATATTCAGAGTCTGATAGTCATGCTCAAGTGGTCTCTGTATCACATGGGGAGGCTCTGACCCCCCCAGTGCTGATCCATTGAACCCTGATTCTTCTACACCCTCTCCCTCAGCACAGCTCTTTGCTCCTTGACTCCTTGCTTGCACCCCCAAAAGTGTCCTGTTCCCCCTCATTCTCACCCAGTTTGGCTTTTAGCCTTCCCAGATGTGTGTTAGCCAACCCGTTGCAGATTCTTCGGGGTGTAGACATCAGCTTCCAGATAAACACAGGAGCAGTGAGGCCTCTAATCTTCTCTCTCCAGCATTTTATAAATTTGTTTGACATGTACCAAGTCCTGGCCCACCCTTTCCTGCCTTCCCACCTCTGGTTCCATCTAGCAGCTCATTGATAATGATGGGCCAGGGGGAGGGCCTCCCCACCAACTAGACAGCACTGCTGTCTCCCTGGGCTTAGAGGAAAGAAAGGGACTGAGCTAGAAAGGGAACCCATGCAGGAGCAAGCTTATTTCCACTACCTTTCACAACCATTTTCCCACAGCGGCCTTTGGGAGAAATCGGCCTCAAGAGGCAACTGGGTAAGAGGCAACCTGTAGCGCTGGACAAACTGCATGGACAAATGGACAGTGTTCCATTTTCACCTGGCCTGGCTCCTTCTCTGATTATGGAAGACAGCAAATTTTAATGCAATAGGAGCTCATTTCCTCTCCCTCTGCCCTACTGACCTTGGCCAAGGTTGTAACTATCTCCTGACCCCTGACCCCCATCCCCTGCCGCAGCCTCCACTTCATGCCCACCACATGAAGAGGTGTGAGGACCAGCAGAAGGGAAGAAGCTTACCTCTTTTATTCCCCCAAGTCTTACATACCTATGAGGTCTTCAAGTTATGTTGACCTTGCTTCTCTCTTCTTTCCCTTCCATAGGATACGGCAGCTGGAGAGAACTGGCCAAGGCTCTGGCCAACAGGAACATTCCAGCTGTGGATCCAAATCTCCAGTTTTATCATCCCCAGAGGCTGGGCTTCAAGGTATGTGGTGGGGCAGCCCATTTTCCCCGCTAGTACATTAACATGAGTTCTCAGCTGTCCCTGCCCTTATAGCCTTAAGGGAAACCTCCACTTTTTGGTGATAAGAGGCCAAGGAGAGGAGTTCCTGGAATTGTAGTCTCACATCACAGGATCGTGTTAGCTGGGTGGGTAGAGATGTCCATCCTACCCTCCTCAGAGCCTTCCTCTCCCGGCTCAAGATACCCAGAATTGAACTGCTCCAGGCATGTGGCCTTTGTCTCCAATAGTGGCAGAGGGCTTAAGGCAGAACCAGCATGTCCTGCCACTCACTGGCATGAGGACTAGGCTGGGGCCTTAGTGACGGTCCCAGACACTCACTGCTAAGAGTCAGAGATGGTGAGGTAGACATATACAGCTGCAAATGGCCAGGGGACAGATGTGTAATGGAGTATTTTTTCTATAGTGTTTCTCAGGGCAGTAATCCTTAGGGAGGCAGGAGTAGCTCTGGGTGGAATTAGGGAAACTGGGGTCTAATTCAGTCTGGAATTCTAAGGTTAGACCTCTGAGCCTAGAAAAGACATGGATCTCCAAGGCTGGACCAGTACCAGACTGAAACCGTGCACCTGCACAGTGGGTAGGGAAGGTCTGGGTTACCCCCAACAGACTTCTACTTGTTAGGACAAATGAGTGACAGACCTGGGCAGAGTCCTGGGGGTGTGGAGAGGAAGACAGAAGTAAGTTCCTGCCCTCAAGAGACTGATCTAGTTAGAAATTTTTTATTCCATATGGGAAGACAGAACATTCAAGAAAATAAAAGAACCTTAGGAGACCAAAGAAGTCTATTTCTGAGAGATATAGTGTGAATAATAAATGGGAGTGTCCCTTATGTTGATAAGCTTCCTAGGAACAGAGACTGTGTCTCCTGGACCTCTGTTTCCCCCTACGCACTTTCAAGGGGCCCCAAATCCCGTTCTTGCCCTACTATTCCCACCAAATTCATTCTTCACTCTTCTGCCAGGACCAAGACTCTGAGCGAGGTGGGAGCGCTAACAGCAGCTACCTGAAGTGGAATAAGCCCGTCCCCTGGCTCTCAGAGGTAAGGGACTCTTTACTGTTCCTGCTCTTGGAGATGGTCAAAAAGTAGTTTTCAATAGGTAATTCCAGCAGAGACCATAGAAAATTTTCTTCTAGTGCTTATTATGAACAATTTTCCTCTAATTTGGACAAAAAAGGAGGAGGAAGCTCCAGTCTCTTTAGTGTTCTTCCTTTAGAGAAGAACATTTGCTTTGAGCCTACTACGTGCTGGTTTTTGCATATCATCGCACATCAGCTTTATAACCCTGTAAGTAGTATCACTATCCTCACTTTACAGGTGAGAAAAACAAGCCTCAGGAAAGCTACATGGCTTTCACACCCACATCAGTCTTAAAGATAGGCTCTCAAACTGTCTTTCTTAGACTAGTAAGTCCTATTAGATATTCCAGGAAGGAAGGAGTCCATTGTTATAAATAAGGCTCAAAAACTATATGCTACATCCACTTCTTGGAAATCACATTAGCACATGAAAGGTTCTGAGAAGTTCCCAGTGATCTGTTTAACTTGGTTTAGCTCTGCAGGTACCAAACTTATTTGTCTCCTGACTTGTTTTTTCCCATGAAGCATGTCTTAATATTCTATGAAACTAGTGTTCTAAGGATCATACTCTAGAAAACTCTGCTTCAGAAAACTTTTTTTTTATTGAGAGAGAGAGAGAGAAAGCACGAGAGGGAGAGGGGCAGAGAGAGAATCTTAAGGAGGTAGGGTTCAATCTCAACACTGAGATCATGAGCTGAGCTGAATCCAAGAGTTGGACGCTTAACCAACGGAGGCACCCAGGTGCCCCTAGAAAACTTCTAGGAAGCAGTTAAATGTGTAAATGAGTTGTCAGGATAACTTACACTTATATAGGATCTGACAGGGTTGGTTTTTTTCTTTTTTTGTAAATAAACTGAGGCTCAGTGAAGTTAATTAACATGCTCAAGACTACCTTAAGAAAATGCTTATGCCAAGACTCCATGGTAACATGGTGCTTTGGGGCTTCGTATTTTGCAACTTGCCCATAACCCAGTACCTTTTAGTCCTGAGACCCACGGACATGGGTTACTTTTCTTGGCTGGGTGGTATTGGCCAGCCCATTGTCTTTATCCATACCTATCACAGATTGATCTCTTCAGTCTGGGTGATTTTATTTACAATCCACCTATTTGCTGTGGGGCAGGAGTGAAGGAGGCAGTATCATGCTAAATGTGATGTTAGGTTTTCCATGCCGTGAAATCACCTCTGTTTAAAGCCCTGAGAGAGGATGGATTACAAAACTGGCACACCTATACTGGGTGACGTCATCAGGTGATTATGCCCTGCCCCACTTGGAGATAGTACTTTGAAAAGAGAGGCCCTTAAAGAGCATTGATCCAATGATCCAGCCTTCAATCCTTTGAGGACAGTTAGGATCATTTTTCTTAATGAACCAATTATTTTTTTTTAATTTTTTAAAAGTGTTTATTTATTTTTTGAGAGAGAGAGAAAGAGAGAGCACGAGTGGGAGAGGAGCAGAGAGAGAAGGAGACACAGAAACTGAAGCAGACTCCAGGCTCTGAGCTGTCAGCACAGAGCCTGACACGGGGCTCAAACTCACGAAACATGAGACCATGACCTGAGCCAAAGTTGGACACTTAACTGACTGAGCCACTCAGGCACCCCAATGAACCAATTATTTTGAAAGATTATGACTATATAACATTCTGCATTTTGTTTTACATGTTTGTTTGTTTGTTTGTTTATTTGAGAGAGACAGAGCAGGCAAGTGGGGGGAGGGACAGAGAGAGAGAACCCCAAGCAGGCTCCATGCTGTCAGTGCAGAGCCTGACTCGGGTTTGATCCCACAAACCATGAGACCATGACCTGAGCCAAAATCAAGAGTCAGAGGCTTAACCAACTGAGCCACCCAAGCACCCCAACATAGATTCTGCATATTTTTTAATTTTCTTTTTTTTTTAAGCTTTCTTTCTTTTTTTTTTATTTATTTTGAGAGCGACAAAAAAGCAGGGAGGGGTAGAGAGAGAGGTAGAGAGAACCCCAAGCAGGCTCCTTGCTGCCAACACAGCTCAACACAGGCTTGAACCCATGAAGCCATGAGATCATGATCTGCACTGAAACCAAGAGTTAGACACTTAACCAAGTGAGCCATCCAGGTGCCCCACATTCTGCATTTATGAATTATTAATGTCCCCAGTTTTTTTGGCCAATCAAGGATGGAGATATACATATATATGTGTATATATATATATGTATATATATATATACACATATATATGTGTATATATATATACACATATATATGTGAAATTAAAACAGTGAACAAATAGTAAATAGTGATGAAAATAGGATTAACTTTTTATTTAATTTTTAAAATTTATTTATTCTTATTTTATTTTATTTTATTTTTTTAATTTTTTTTTCAACGTTTTTTATTTATTTTTGGGACAGAGAGAGACAGAGCATGAACGGGGGAGGGGCAGAGAGAGAGGGAGGGAGACACAGAATTGGAAACAGGCTCCAGGCTCCGAGCCATCAGCCCAGAGCCTGACGCGGGGCTGGAACTCCCGGACCGCGAGATCGTGACCTGGCTGAAGTCGGACGCTTAACCGACTGCGCCACCCAGGCGCCCCATATTCTTATTTTAAAGAGAGATTGAGCATGAGCAGGAAAGAGGGGCACAGAGAGAGACAGTGAATCTCAAGCAGGCTCCACACTCAGTGCAGAGCCTGATGTGGGGCTTGATCCCATGACCCTGGGACCATGACCGGAGCCAAAATCAAAAGCTAGATGCCCAACTGACTAAGCCACCCAGGTGCCCCTAGGATTAACTTTTTAAAGAAACAGTTGATCTTTTACTAAGTGTATGGCCTTTTGGTGGTAAATGCCAGAGGTCCATGGACTTTTTTTTTTTTTTTTAATATTAAAAGTAGCTTTACCAAAACAAAAAATTACCTTGCAAAATCCTCATTACAGTTTTCATGAATTTTCAGGGAATCACTGATCCAATCATCTTATTTTACCAACGAGGAAAACAAGGCCTTTGTTAAAAGGTTAAACAACTAGGACGCCTGGGTAGCTCAGTTAGTTAAGTATCCAACTCTTGATTTACAGTTAGGCCATGATCTTACGGTTCATGGGTTCGAGCCCCACTTTGGGCTCTGTGCTGGCAGTGTGGAGCCTGCTGGGGATTCTCTCTCTCCCTCTCTCTCTGCCCCTCCCCCGCTCACACTCACATGTGTGCTTGTGTGTTCTCTCTCTCTGTCAAAATAAATAAACTTTAAAAAGAATCCTCAAAAAAAAAAAAAGGGTTAAGTAACTGGGGCACCTGGGTAAATCAGTTGCTTAAGCCATCCAACTCTTGATTTCTGCTCAGGGCATGATCTCACAGTTGTGGGATCGAGCCCCACATCAGGTTCCATGCTGAGCTTGGAGCATGCTTAATATTCCCTCTCACTCTCCTTCTGCCCCTACCCCCAGCTCACACTTGCTCTTGCTTTCTCTCAAAAAAAGAAAAGGTTCAACAACTAACATCTGCAGTTAGTCACACAGCTGCACGGTGGTTCCAGCTCTTTTCCAGTTCACCACAGGGACTTCTTTGTTACCATCTCCTTTCCTGTCACCTGCCTTTTGACATACGGTTTCAGCAGGAAATGCTCAGGTTAATGATAATATATGTCATAGCTGTCATGAGCTGTCAGGTTGTACTATTATCCGCCTTTTGCAAGTAATGACTCAGAGAGGGGTTAACTCACTCACTCACTCAACGTGGCATCGCTAGGACACAGCCCTGCTCGGAAGGTGAGCAAGGACAGAGTGTAACAAGGCTGACGGTGGTCTCTTTGTCTCCCCACCCCAGTCTTTAGCTAGCAGCACAGGGTCTCTGAGGCCAGAAGTCACTTTTGAAAGCAAAGCAGCCTTAGACATTCTATTTGGTGTGTGTCAGAGAGAACGTCAGAGTGGCCGGTGTGGGGCTGGGCTTCACGGGGTAACTGCCCTCAAAAACTTATTCATGTCAACCTGAATCCTAAGACTAGTTAACAAACCCCGCTAATGAACAAACCTCAATGCCAATTTATTCATTTACATCAGTAGATGGTTCCATTGATCAAAACACTGTCTGATACTTAAGATGCTCCATCTGGTAAACCAAAATAGTTACAAGAAAGAAATTTGGTGAATACAAAATAAGATCAAAGGAAGTCAGTGTTTTTCCTGGGGTCATGCCATGCTGGCTTTGGTGAGGTGGTGTCTCTTGAGGAGAGGGCAGAGACCCAGAATCCTCTTCTCAGGCTTACTTTTTTTGTTTTTGTAAGTTTTATTGACATACAAATTAAATACCATGTAATTCACCCATTTGAAGTGTGTAATTCAATAGATTTTAGTATATTCATAGAGCGCATCACTATGCATCGTCCATCACTATCAATTTAGAGCATTTTCATTACCACAGAAAGAAACTCCATACCCGTTAACCATCACCCCTCACCACCCTCACCCCATCCAGAACTAGGTGAACAAGAATTTACTTTCTGTCTCTCTACGTTTGCCTGTTCTGGACATTTCATATACATGGAATCATGTGATGTGACCATTTATGTCTGGCTTCTTTTACTTGGCGTGACATTTTCAAGCTCATCTGTGCTGTAGCATGTATCAGTACTTCATTTCTTTTTATTGCTGAATATTATTGCATTGTGTCTGTATCACATTTTATTTCTCCATTTCGAGTGTACATCCATGATCAGCTCCTGCCTCGCCTGGCGGTAGAGGTGACCACTCCTGCCTTCGTGCCATGTGCCTCTGACACCTCTGTAATAGCCCCTGACACAGGTGACACCATTTGTTAACACATCTCTCTCCTTGGAGGACCACATCTCTTTTCATCTCTAACTGCTGCAAAGCAGCCATTCACTGCTTACAGAATAAATGAGGGAGCATATGGTTCTGGGCTTAGCTTCTCCAAGCAGTTGTTCATTCAAATAGTTAAGATGTTCTGGGAACACTCAGGAGGGAAGCTATTAACTCTGCCTCAAAAAGTCAGAGAAGGATGAGCCAGAGTTTGCCAGGTGGGGGAGATAGGAAAAGGCCTTCCAACCAGGAAATAGTATTTGTAAAGACATGGAGAGGTGAAGGGGCATGGCAGAGACGGGGAGTTGGGTGTGGGTGGAAGTAGGTGTGTGACAGGGAGTGGCATGAGGTGAGGCTGGGAAGATAGGTCAGTGGGAAAGATCTCGCATGCCAGGGTGAGGTTCTGTTCTGGAGCCTTTTGGGAACCTTCTGAGGTTTGAAGCACTGGAGTGACATGATCGGATCTGTGCTCTGAAAGACACAGTCATGCAGGCAGTGTGCAGAATCAGAGGGAGAGAAGCTTCCATCCCATTAGGAGGCTCTGCTGCAGGCCTGGCAAGCCCAGTGAGGCCTGGCAGAGGCAGTGTTGTGGGAACGGAAGACAGCAGACGTGTCTGTGGGAGGGCCCAGCAGGCTGGCCTTACCCTCCTGCATCCATACCCCCAGACGCCCTCCCCGCTTCCACAGGGCTAATTGCTGTGTGTTTGGGGGGAGTCAGTTTACCTCGTGTGGCCTCAATATTCTCACCTCTAAAACAAGAAGGTTCCAACAAATATTTTCTTCAACTGCTTCTAACTGGAAGTTCTGAATCCGTCATTAGCTGTGGACACACTGTGGTGATCGAGGGTAACCAGTGTCCTTCCCTGGGCCTAAGCCCCTGCTGGAGAGTGGAGAGAGTGGGCAAAGGGCAGTGCTGATGAGCTGGAGTCCCTCATCCCTGCCAGATACAAAGTCTCCAAAACTCGGAGAGACACAAATCCTGGTGGGGTTGCCAGGCTGGGCCTGGGGAGAAAGATGGTGCCCACTGGTCCCTCAGAGGCCCCCACCTACAGCCTGAGAGTGGGTGAAGCAGGGCTTGAGGGCTGCCTTCATGCCGAGTGAGGGCCTAGACCTCAGGGAGAGGTCCAGTCCTCTTCCTACACCCCCACCTGCCCCACCTTCCATTGCCTGCAGCATCCCAGGCTACTTTGCTGTACTGCAAGCCAAGGCCCTGGGGGAGGGTGGCGGTGGCCAGCCCAAATCCTTCCTTTTTCCCTCCTTCCCCTGCCCAATCCTCCTGTGGCCTCTGGCCCCTGGCTGAGCACAACAGATTACTCTGGTGGCATGCCCTCCCTCTGCAGTTTGCTGTGGGTCTGAGCACGCTGCCCTGAAAGTCTCCCAGGGAGGGGCCGAGAGGAGGTCATTGGTAGGAGACAACTGAGTCTTGTAAACTGGACTTAAGGAATTTCCCCAGAAGTAGCACAATGTCCTCATTCTTTCCTTCCAAGAAGCCTTAACCCGCCCCCCACCTACCCAGCCCACATTCTCTCTCCCACCCATCCCAGCCCCCCACTCCTATTCCCCGGAGTGATGGCTGCTTCCCAAGGCCCTGCACTCCTGGCTTTGACCAGGCCAGTGTGCCCGGGAAGGGCCAGGCTGCTGACCGGACAGGGAGCTCTCTTGGGTCCCTTCTGGGTCTGGCTGTGGAGTAGCGTTTCCTCAGAGCCCGCACCTCAGATCTTTGGCATTGGCATGCAGGAGTTCTCTCCCCACCATCCCTCCCTCCAGATCGCTTGCCGAAGACCATGTGCCACTTCCTTTTATCTGGCTTCCAGTCTGGGTGTCCCTTCCTCCTCTGTTTTCCTAAGGGCAGCTCAGATTTTGATATCTGATGGGCCACAGTGGGGAGGGAAGGGCAGGGCCTGTTTGTGTAGAGTAATTGAGGCCCCACCTCCCACAACCTGGAGATTAAGTTCTGGGGGAGGGGGAGGAGAAAATTGCTGAGATGGGGTAATCTGAAACTCTTTGTCAGGATAAATTGGGACATGATCCCCATGCTTCCCCTCCCCACTCAAACTCCCAGCCCTTCTTCCACCCACTCAGAGCACTGGCTCTAAGGCCCTCTCTTCTGAAGGGGGCCCTCTGCTGCTGGCCTCCAGGCCCAATCTCTACCCCTCCACCGATGCCACTGCCAAGGAGGAGAGAGCATACATCCTCTGCTCCTACCTTTCCAGGGCTGCCCAGGTCCGGGCACCCGGGTAGTTATGCCAGGAGAGGCTGGGCAGGGCGAGAGGCTTCCAGCTCCTGAGGGAGCAGTTGGAGGCAGAGGCGTCCTGCCGGATGGGGCCCCCAAAGACCTCCTGCAGCGTTTTCCCAGCTGCTTCTCCACAAGGGGAGCCAGAAGCGTGGAGACTACTGGGTAGATAAGGTTTCACCGGCAGACAGCTGTGGAGCTTACTATTAGGCAGAAGGGAAAGGGGAGGGGAGGAGAGCAAGTCTTTAGCTGAAACCCCAGGTTGGCGCCTCCTTCCAGTTCTTTCTGTCATCTATGCCTTTCTGTCATGGCTATTACTCCCCCTTGCCTGGGGAATGCAAACCAGCCCCCTTCCTGCATGGAAAGAGCTGGGACTCTGTGTGTGTGTGTGTGTGTGTGTGTGTGTGTGGCCACAAGCATGGCCAGAAAAACAGACCCAGGCCTCAGGGCTAGGCAATGGGGATGGAGGTTCGAGAAAGAAGCTGCAGGGTCGAGGATGGGATGGAACTGAAATGGACCGTGACCTTCAGTAGTGAGAGGAAAACAGGCTGGGGCTGTGGTGGCTAGTGCCTCCTCAAGCTGCAGAGCCGGACGGGTTTGGGGGTGCTCACACTCACCCGCTTGCTTCTCTGCCCCATACAGTTCCAGGGCCGCGCCAACCTGCATGTGTTTGAAGACTGGTGTGGCAGTTCTATTCAGCAGCTCAGGAGGAACCTTCACTTCCCACTGTACCCCCATGTGAGTGTTTGCTGGATGTGCCTCTTTTCCCTCCCTCCACACCCTTCTCCTCTCCCCTCCCTCTGCCCCGCTTCTGTCTCTCATCTCCCCCTATCTTCTGTCTCCATCTTTCCTGGCTTCTTTTCTGGTTCACTTTCTTTCCTTTATATCTTGGGTCCTCTTTTCTCCTGTCCAGTTATTACCCTTGCTCTCATCCCACGGATTCCTTTGATTTCTCTCTGCCATCTTCTGCATCTTTTCAGCTTTAGGCTCTCGTTATGGCTGTGATGTGGTTTAGCCAGAGCTACCGCATACAGTTGGGCTGGTTGTGCACTGTACAAGGTCACATGCTCAAAGAAGCAAGTAGGAGTGGAAATCTTGCCTATACTCTACTCACCAAGTCACACTCCAGTACCTCCTGTCTCCTTCCCTTCTGGTCTTCCCACCAGCCCTGAGTGGCCCGATTTCTTCAGTTTCCTCTTCTCTCGTCTAAGTAACAGTTCCCCCCCCCCCCCGCCCCTTTCTTGGTATAGATTCGCACAACCCTGAGGAAGCTGGCTGTGTCCCCCAAATGGACCAACTATGGCCTTCGCATCTTTGGCTACCTGCACCCCTTCACCGATGGTGAGGCCAGCCCCAAAGTCCCCTCCTCCTGCTCCCTGCCCCAGGTTCTTTATGGTACCCAGAGAACATAAGTCTGTAGCTGAGAAGTAAGTCCACACTAGGCTGCCTGGACCCTGTTAGTCTATCACTGGGGAGAGGGGGGGAATTTAGTCCCCATGAGGTATCATCCAGTTGCCACTTGTCTCCCTAATTTGTAGAGTCTAGAATAGCTTGTCTCTCCCTGTGAGTCTTCTCCATCCTCATGGGGTGTCCTAGGATGAGGAACCCCCACTTCAAGTCCCCTGAAGAGAATGTAATCGCTAAGACATAAAATAGGCTTTCAGGCCTTTATGCCAATGCCCTTCTTGCTCTCATCTGGAACTCTCTCCCCCACTGCCCAGGGAAGATCCAGTTTGCCATTGCTGCAGATGACAACGCAGAGTTCTGGCTCAGCCGTGATGACCAGGTGTCAGGCCTTCAGCTGCTGGCCAGTGTGGGCAAGGTAGGGTCAGCCCAGCCCCAGAGCTCTCCCATTGGGCCCAGGAGCCAGGTCATGGAAGAGACACCTGCCTGCATCAGGAAACCCTCATTACCATTAGTCTTTCTGGTGTGACAGCCAGGGAAGAAGGTGTGGGAAGGAAGCCTCTTCCCTCTCACCGCTGCCCCATTTTACAAAGGGATAAACTGAGGTGTAAACTGGGGAGGAGTAAGGAGTTAGTCTGGGGCCGCAGAAAGTCCTCAGGAAGGTTCATCTCTCGGCAGGGACTAGGCTACCCCCTGCTGGGTTCCAGCATCCTTAGCATGGTGACAAGGAGGCACACCTGGGGCCTGATTGCTCTGGACCCTCTAGGAAGGGTGGAGGTGCTTTTGCCCGTGTCATCTGTCACTTCCCTTACCTCTCCTGTTTTCTCTCCCCTCGCCCCCCTTCTTTCCTCTCCTGTCTACTTTCTCCCCATTCCTTCCTTGTCTCTTCACTCACTGCCTCCCTTTCTTCATATTTTTTGTCTTCTTCCTTCCTTCTCTTTCCACTCTCCCCACACCTCTAGACTGGAAAAGAGTGGACTGCCCCTGGAGAGTTTGGGAAATTTCGGAGTCAAATTTCCAAGCCAGTGAGGTGAGTAGGGAGTCTCATGACGTTCCTGTGAGCAGGAGAAAAAAAACCCAGCCTACCTCAAGCGCTGAGGCCAAATCAGAGTCAAGGAGCCCAGTCACCCCCTCCCACTATCCAGCCTTCCTTATTCCAGAGTTCAGTGTGCCCAGGCACTCCTGCATTCTGATAGATGAAGTCTTTGACTGAGAAGCCATTTGGTCCATCCTTCCTCATTTTACAGATGGGGAAACTGAAGCTCTGAGAGGGGTGTCACTTAATGAAAGTCACACAGCTATCTAGTGACACTCAGGACTAGAAAACAAAATAGGTCTCTCTTCTCCCAGTCCTTGACCTTCCCTTTTGCTCCATCCCTGGGAATGTCCGCAGCGGTACAGCCTGGACACCAGCTGCTCTGCCTGTGCTGCAGAAAGTTCCTCGTCACAGTGATCCCTTGGTAGACTGGAGGGAAACAAGGCCTTTCCCAGCTGTAGTGGCTGGAATTGCTTTAACATGCCGGCAGGGGGACTTAGCCCAACTTCACAGTGCCACCTGGTGGCCTGCCCACACAGGCGAGAACACGAATGGGCTTGACGGTGATAATAGCGAGGCTGATAACAGTAAGACAGTCTAGCTTGCCAAGAGCGCTTGCTATGTGCCAGTCTCTGTGGTGAGCACTTTACATGTAACTGAGTGAAGCAGCTAGCATCATGGACCCCAAAGCAAGACTGCCTGAGTCCAAATCCCAGCTCCACCACTTACCACCTCAGTGACTTTTGGCAATTACCCAACATTTCTGTGCCTCAGTGTTCTCATCTGTAAACAAGAATTAAGTGAGTTAGTATACATGAAGCACTCAGAATGTGTCTAGCACACAGTATCAACTCTATTATTACAGATGGCCAGACCTACGTTTGTTCAACTTTACGATGTTGCAGAAGTGATATGTGTTCAGTGGACACGGTACTACAGATTTTGAATTTGGGTCTTTATTCGGGCTAGTGATACAGGGCACAGCAGTGTCTTGTGATGCTGGGCAGTGGCTGTGAGCCTCAGCTCCCAGTCAGCCATGTGTTCGCAGGGTCAACAACAAATACACGCATAACCTGAACCCTTACAGCCATGCTGTTTTTTACTTCCATTCAGTAACTTACATGGGATATTCAGCACTTCATTATAAATAGGCTTTGTGTCAGATGATCTTGCCCAACTGTAGGCTAATGAAAGTGTTCTGAGTGTGTTCAAGGTGGGCTATATTGTTCGGTAGGTTAGGTGTATTAAATTCATTTTTGACTTCCAATATTTTCAACTTACAATGGGTTTATTAGGATGTAACCCTATCATAAGTTGAGGGAGATGTCTATGTCCTTTGATTCTCATGATTATCCTGTGAAGTGTGTACTGTTATTACCGCCATCTTAGAGAAGAGAAAAGTAAGGTCACACTGTGGGTAAGCAGTAGGGTGGGGACTCCAGGCCAGCATTAAAAGCAAAGCTCCTGGGATTCTGTGAACAAAGAGAAGACAACGCGCCGCTATGCGCGCGCCCCCCCCCCCCGGGCGCAAGGTGGGAGCTGGTGTTGGTATGGCAGAAGAGTGGGTCAGAGGGGTGACAACACGGCCCGAGAAGATAGCCTTTTGTTTCTCTGCTCTCTCCTGCCAGCCTGGCAGCCTCCCAGAGGTACTACTTCGAGGTGCTGCACAAGCAGAATGACGAGGGCACCGATCATGTGGAAGTCGCGGTGAGGGCTCCGCCGCTCCTGCCCTCCTAGCTCAGCTCTGAGCCACTCCTCGCCCCTTGTCCCTTGAACCCTTTCCGAAATCCAGCTACCTCTAGCCCTCTGCATCTGCCCTCTCTCCTCTTCCAGTGGCGACGGAATGACCCTGGAGCCAAGTTCAGCATTATTGACTCCCCTTCCCTGTCCCTCTTCACAAGTGAGTAGGCTCTGCTCCTCGCCTGGACACAGAGGCGAGCTGGCACCAACACGTGGGGCTCAGTCCACAGGGGGCTTCGGTCAGGGGAGGGGTGCAGACTAAAGCTCAAGATGCTTGGAATGTGGGTGTGAAGGGGGCTCAGAACAAGGAACAGAGCTTAAAGGGACCCTAAGGTCAGAGGTCCTTAACTCTCAGGGGTCAGGGAATCTGAGAACCTGCTGGAAGCTCTCTGCGACCTCACCCCAGAAAAATGCCCTTACCCATCCATACACAATATTTTGTGTATGATTTCAAGGGCATCCAGAGACCATGAGGCTCACTCCAGATGAGAAAGCTCTGAGACAGTTTCCTATTTCACAGATGAGGGAACCATGGTTCTTTGCAAAGCTATGACCAGAGCTAAAGAAACTTTCTCACCTGCCTTAAATTCACAGTAAATGAACTCTTCAGTTGTACTGTGAATTGTTCATGATTTCCTCAGCAAGACTCCTATCTGCAGGCCCCACTGAGAAATCACTGGGCCTGGGTGTAGGAAGAGCAGGCAGGGCCAGAACCCTAAGGGGAGAAGGACAAGCCAAGTGCTGGGAGGAGACTGGGAAGGCAGTGGGAAGTGTGTGAGAGAGAAGGAGGACAGGATGGGGACAGGCCGGGGAGGCCTGGGTTCCCAGACGGTGATGGGCGGGGGAGGGGAGGCAGTATGGAATGGGCAAGGCAGGTGGGAGGAGGTTGCTGGTGAGTAAAGCAGGAGGCCACAAGGTCAAGGCAGAGGGGCAGGTTGTGAGCTGCTGAATTGGTGCAAGAGGAAGAAGGGAGAGCTAGAATCCATAGATGCAATGTGAAATGAGAAGAAAGAGGCCCATACCAAAGTTTAGGGGAGAAACTAGTGAGATGAGCCAGAGGCACCCAGCCTTGGGTACAGAAGGAGAGCTCTACCTGGGGCTGTAGACAAATGAGTCCAGGAGGCAGGGAGCAAGGACAAGCAACCCGTCCCCAGGGCAGTGAGAAAAGGGAAGGAGTAAGCCTGGCCCACTTGGAGATGAGAATACCAGGAGGATGGACCGCCTGGGTGGCTCAGTCGTTTAAGCGTCCGACTCTTGGTTTCGGCTGAGGTCGTGATCTCATGGTTTTGTGAGTTCAAGCCCCTAGTCGGGCTCTGTGCTGACAGCATGGAACCTCCTTGGGATTGTCTCTCTCTCCCTCATTTTCTGCCCCTCCTGTGTGTATTCTCTGTCTGTCTTTTTCTCTCAAAATTAAAACAAAAGAGAGAAAATACCAGGAGATGATGAGCGAGCTGTGCAGAATGCCGGGGGCGGGGGTGGGGGGGCGCCCTGCCCGTGGGGGGCATGGCTGACCTGTCTGCGGCAGGGACGACATAGCCTACGTTCAAATTCAGCTTTGCCACTTAATCAGTTGTGTGATCTCTGGCAAATGCTTTAGATTCTCTTTCCCAAAGTTCTTTGTCTATAAAATAGGAATAATTAAGAAGTACATAAGTCTTATGGTGCTTATAAAGATTGAATGGTTTGATATTTATAAGATGCTTAGAACGGTGCCTGTTTTGTTATTTAGTAAATGCTATAGATGCATTTGTTAAATAAATGAGGCATACTTATAGTGACAAATTTCCAGCAGAAAGCTGTCTTTTTCCCATATACACTGTGGTATGTGCTAGCCATGGGGCTGGTGGGGTGGCTCTAAGGGAGATCAGTAGCTGAACCCACAACTTGTGAGGGAGCAGGGCTAACAAGGGAGAGGGATCGCGCACACCCCATACTATCCCTGGGGGATACAGAAGCCTGCACTCAGCCCCTCAGAGGGGCAGGGGCCTGGCTTTGGTTTGCCCCAGGACTCACAGCTGCTTTCTGTTCTTTTCTCCCTGGGCCCAGACGAGACAGTCCTAAGGATGGATGACGTGGGCCACATCCCTCAGACAGCAGCCAGCCATGTAGGGTCCCCAGACTCTCTTCCTAGAGATGAGCAGCCCCTTGCAGACATGCTGCGACCGGACCCTCGGGACACCCTCTATCGAGGTAAGGCCTCGGCCGCATTCTTGTCATCCAGTCTGGGGACGGTACTCTGCCAGGTTTAGTGGGAGGCAACTTGGGAGACTTGTCACTTCTAGCGCAGTATCCCAAAAGTCAAAGAGTCATTTTTTCCCCTTATGTAGTATAAAATATAACATGGGTACAGAGAAGCACAAAAAATATATATGTACAATTTTATAATTATACAAATCATTATAGAACCGACATTGTGTAACCACCTCCCAGGACAGGAAATAGAACCAGAGCCCAGAAATCCCCTGTGCATGCCTCCACAATTCCATACGTCATAGTTTCTTAGGGGATCACAGCTCTTTGAATCCAGTGAGAGAAATCTGTTCCCTCCGAGGTGCTGGAGTTGTCAACTCTTGGGAGAATTTACATTTTTAAAGATGACCAAGTCCCATAACAACTGGGAGGAAATTCAGTTATTGGCACTACACTAGGGTGAGACTTTGGCCTCTTGGATGTTTCTAAACCTTTAGTGAGGTTAGCCCAGTATAGCATTCCCAGTACTGTGCTGTATCTTGAACCAGGGACCGTGTCTGAATCCTTGGCCTCCAAGGTGCTCCTTGAATGCACCCACCCCAGAAAGTGGTGCCAGCCTTGGTTTGGCAACCTCAGCTGATGGGCGTGGTCTCTGCCCACTGCTGCCACGAGCAAATACAAAAAGGTGTTTTCTCAGAGCAGAGGCCTTCGGCCCTCCTCCTCAGCCGAGTGCCTTCCTGGCTCTAAGCCAGCCCATTCCAGGCTCCCGTCCCCACCCTCACCCCTCTTCCCTTACTGTCCTCAGTGCCTCTGATTCCCAAGGCTCATCTCCGCCATGTCCTGCCTGATTGTCCCTACAAACCCAGCTACCTGGTGGATGGGCTCCCCCTGCAGCGCTACCAGGGACTCCGCTTTGTAAGTCTTGGGGCTGGCCAGTGGGGGCAGGATCCAGAGGGCTTGCTGCCTGTGGCTGAGATGGAGGGGTGCCGGGGCTGACTCTTCCTCCTCCCTATGCCACATAGCAGCAGACGGGATGTCCTCACAGGTCCCTGGGCTGGGAGCGCTTGCGTTCCCGGTTGCCTCTCTCACCCACAGGACCACCCTGTAAGGCTCTGCCTTGGGAAGCCCCCACACCAACTCGGCAACAGTGATGATGACATGAGGTGGGGTGGCCCGATGCCTCCTATATTCTCTGCTCCTTGGGCCATACAGTCCTGCCCGGGTCTGACCTACTGGGCTATGAGCCAGCAGTAGTTAATAAACTCATAGACAAGGCACTGGGGGAAAGTGAGCTGTGGATGGGAGGTTAGCTCTAGAGAGCCTGTAGCCCTAGTAGAAACTGTAGAGGCAGAATGCACACTACTTATCCAGATCTAGAGATGATTAGAAGTCCTCCCCAAGGTCAGAGAATGAGTGGGGTTGAACTGAGATGTTTGTGGGTGACATTGCCTTAAGCTATTTAAGAGGACCAAAAGCAATGGAATGAATGACAAAAGGGGACTGTGGGACATTGCAGGTAAAGGTTAGAGGTTGTAGGAGAGGATAAGATGGCAAAAGGAGGAGAGGATGGTCCTGGCTGTAGCTGGGGAGAAGGAGCTGAGATAGGAGATGAGGTATGTGTGCACCAGGAAGCTTGAATTGGGGCTTATGCTTGGTCCAGAGAGCCCAGGAGAGGAGGCCTAAAGAGTGGAATGGAATCCCGGTCTGCATAACAAATTCAGAGCTCAGAGCAGCCCGTCTTCCCCTCGCCAGTCCCTAGGAGCCCTAGGTGGTCCTGGCCAGGGGCAGGCTTAACCCTGGTTAGCTGATTTCTTACCAGGATCCTGGGCTCTTATTCCTGCTGCTTCTTTCTCTGCCTCCAGGTTCATCTGTCCTTCGTTTACCCCAATGACTACACCCGCTTGAGCCACATGGAGACCCACAATAAATGCTTCTACCAGGAAAACTCATACTACCAGGACAGGTGAGTGACACTGAATGGAGTAAGGAAATGACCTTATGGATGGGTTCTGCAAAAGCCAGTAGAGCTTCATGGACCAGAGGGGACACAAGTGTTCTTCCAGGCCAAGGAGACTTGGCCCTTCCTGGGCGCGCCACACACTCACACACACACACACACACACACACACACACACACTCTCTTGCCCAGCCTAGTCCCCGGCACCCTAGTCCCCGGCATGACTCCATATTGCTGTGGGGGCTTCAGGCAGAGCCTCACTCACGAGCCTGCAGGGCACCGGGGGCCAGTCTACCTCTGCCTTCCTCCTACAGGTTCAGCTTTCAGGAGTACATCAAGATGGACCAGCCTGAGAAGCAGAAGCCGGAGCAGCCAGGTACAGAGTGACAGCTGAGGCTTCCAGGTCAGGTCGGGAGGGGTGACCATGGTCTATTTCTAGGGGAAGTTCAGACCATGCCAGCCCTGCCCCTGAGGAGCTTAAAATCCAAACCACACAGCCCCTCCTCCAACCCAAAGGAGTAGAGAGTGGTACTCCTACCTTCTCCATACCGGTAGAAAATGACACTGTTTTTAACAGCATGCTGCAGTCAGCTGGAGGAGATTTAGAGCCCTGGAGGAGATTCCTTGGACTGCTTGAGGGCATCGCTGTCCCTGGCACCTCACTGGAGAAGTCCGCTATAGAGAAGCACTGTCTCTCTGTGGCCCTCCTTCCTGAGGGATTAGGGCACATCCAGGGCCATTTGTTGGGTCCTACAAGTGTCAGGCACCTGCTAGGCACTTTGTGTATTTTATGTCACTCCATCTTCATAACAACCCTATGGAAGATGGGCTATTATTCCCTTTACACGAAGGAAGAAATGAGTTAGTTGAGGTTAGTAACTCACCCCAGGTCACACAATAAATAAGTGAGTGAATAGCAGAGCCCAGATGCCGTCCCCATCTGAAACTCCTTGTATCAATAGCTATCTTGTATATCTCGTTTGGGAAAGGTTAGCAACTCCAATGTGAGGAATGGTTGTTATTAACGACAGGTTTCAAGGAAGGCCTTCTAGAAGAATCCCAATATGGAGAAGCAGTGGAGGAGACCCTTGACTCCAATGACCAGAATGCCAGGATGCCAAAGGGAAAACCAGTGCCCACCTTTACCCCTGGGCAGGATGTCACTGACTACCGCCTCCGAAGCCTGCGGAAACTCCTGGCTCAGCCCTGGGAGGGTCCACTGACACCCTTTTCCAAGAGGAACTCCACAGCTCCCTTCCCTGTGAGGACCAGTGATGTCCCAGTCCAGCCCCCAGAGAAGCAGGGGAGAAGACCCAGCCCTGGGCCCAGCCAAGATCCCCCTCCCTCTGAGAAGTGGCCTCCGGGGCATCTGGCAGGGAACCTGCCTCAAGTCAAGGGGCCCAGGCCCACTGGTGACAGCCCCAGGAAGACGCTAGGGCAATCCCAGTGGCTGAATCAAGTTGAGACATACATTGCAGAGCAGAGAAGGGGGGACAGGATGGAGCTTCCAGCCCCCAGGAGGGATTGGCCCGGGGAGGGAGAGGTGGTGGTAGCTGCAGGCCAGGAAGGACAGGCGGAGGGAGAAGAAGAGGGGGAGGAAGAGGAAGAGGAAGAGGATGTGAGTGAGGTGTTCGAATACATGCCCATGTTTGACCCCGTGGTAAGCTGGGACCAGACCTTCAGTGCTCGGAACCTGGACTTCCAAGCCCTGCGGACTGACTGGATCGATCTGAACTGTAACACATCTGGCAACTTGCTGCTTCCAGAGCAGGAGGCTCTCGAGGTCACACGCGTCTTCCTGAAGAAGCTCAACCAGAGGAGCCGGGGGTAAGGTAAAGGGCTCTTCTGGGACCGGGGCTGGGGCTCGCGCAGCCAGCTGGCCTGGGGGCAGGGACCTGGGGGCTGTAGCATGGTCCCCTGCGGCAGGCTCCGTGGAAGATCAAGCACCTGGGACCCCCCGTCCCTGAGAATGAGGTGTACCCGTCAGGTCTTTGTCCCACCATCAGGCAAAACTGAGGCTAAAAGAGACAAGACCCCAGGTATGGGCTACAAGGGCTAGGGCAGCAAGCATGGCCTTACTTCTTTGTTTGTTCATTTGTTCATTTAACCAATCAGCATTCTTTTAATTGAGATAGAATTCACGTACTATTTAATGTACCGTTTTACAGTGTAGTTTTAGAGTGTACAATTTGGTGGTTTTTAGGTATGTTCATAATGCTATGCAACCATCACCACTATGATTCCTATCATTTTCATCCCTTGTAAAAGACACTCTGTACCTGTTAGCATGACTTCCGTTTCTCCCTCCTCTCAGTCCCTGGCAACCACTACTCGACTCTCTTCTGCTACAGATTTACCTATAATAGTCATTTCATGTAAATGGAACTGTGTAATATGTGGCCTTTTGTTTCTGGTTTCTTGCACTTAGCTTATTCATATTGTAGAATGTATCGAGTACTTCATTCTTTTGTACAGCTGCATAATATTCCGCTGCGTGACTATGCCATGGATTGTGTGTCCATTTGTCAGTTGATTGACATTTGGGTTGCTTCCACTGTGGGACTATTATGAATACATTGGTGGGCAAATTTTTGTGTCAGCATGTTTTCAGTTCTCTTGGGGATATACCTAGGAGTAGAACTGCTGACTTTTACAGTAACTCTGTTTAACATTTTGAGAAACTGCCAATCTCTTTTCCAAATCAGCTGCACCATTTTTCATTCCCATCAGTGGTTTCAATTTCTCTACATCTTTGTCAATGCTTGTTATCTTCCTTTCTTTAAAATAGCCATTGAGGTGGGGGGCGCCTGGGTAGCTCAGTCGGTTGAGTCACCGACTCTTGATCTTGGCTCATGTGTTGGTCTCACGGTTTGTGGGATTGAGCCACGCATTAGGCTTTGCCATTCTCTCTCTCTCTCTCTCTCTCTCTCTCTCTCTCTCCTTCTCTCTCTGTCCCTCCCCTGCTTGTGTGCTCTGTCTCTCTCAAAATAAATAAATAGGGGCGACTGTGTGGCTCAGTCAGTTAAGTATCCAACTTTGGCCCAGGTCATAATCTCACAGTTTGTGAGTTTGAGCCCCGCCTCAGGCTCTATGCTGACAGCTCAGAGCCTGTAGCCTGATTTGGATTCTGTGTCTCCGTCTCTCTCTGCCCCTCCCCTGCTCACTCTCTGTCTCTCTCACTCTCTTTCAAAACTAAACATTTTAATTAAGAAATTAATTCATTAACAATCCTAAAGTGTGTGAAATGGTATCGCTTTATGGTTTGGATTTGCATTTCCCTAGTGACTAATGATATTGAGCTAACCAATCAACATTTATCTGATAATCCATATGTCTTATGTACTCTGAGCAGAGTATTTTATTAATGAGGGTCAGTTTCTGAAGGACACACATTCACCTTACATACTTAGGATCTTAGAGGTATAACAGACTTTAGAGATCATCCAAGGTCAATTAGGTACATTTTTAAAGATGGAGGCAGTGAACACTAGAGATTAAGCATCTGGTGTAAGTTTGTTCTTTCTTTCTCTCTGTCCCTCTCTTTCTTTCTTTTCTTATTTCTTAAGTTCTACACCCAGCCTGGGCCTTGAACTCATGACCCTGAGATCAAGTTGCATGCTCTACTGGCACCCCCTGGTATAAGCATCTTAGCCAAAGGCATCGCCAGGACAAAAACCAGGGTCTCCTGACCTCCTTACAGGCTTCTACCACACCATGTTACCCCCACAGTAGGGGAAGGAATTACTCAAGCTGCCCGCCCTTTCTGCCATAGGAAGTACCAGCTGCAGCGAATTGTGAACGTGGAGAAGCGCCAGGACCAGCTACGTGGAGGTCGCTACCTCCTGGAGCTTGAGCTGCTGGAACAAGGCCAGCGCCCAGTGCGGCTCTCCGAGTATGTGTCTACACGAGGCTGGCAGGGCATCGATCCAGCTGGTGGGGAAGAGGTCGAGGCCCGGAACCTGCAGGGCCTGGTTTGGGGCTCACACAACCGCCGGAGACATGTCTTGAATGTCCGGGCCCCAGAGCCCAAGCTGTGTTGGCCCCAGGGCTTCTCCTGGAATCACCGAGCCGTGGTCCACTTCGTTGTGCCTGGTGAGCCTCAAGCTGAGCCCGGCCATTATCAGCAGAGTGGGGATCCTAAAAGTAACCGTGAGCCACCCAGGTCTCTGCTCACTGATTTGATCTCATAAGAACCTGTGGGAGAGGCCACCTTACAGTTGAGGACCCAAGATCACATGACTGAGTGTTGGCGTTGGAAAAGATGCTGACTCTCGGGCCAGTTGCTCTCCTATTATAACAGGTTTCGGGGTTGGGTGCAGTCATGGCCAGATTGTTGTACTGGGGTTTGCAACTACTCTGGGGAATAAGACATAGAGGGGGTTACCTGGTTTTTATAGTGGAAAAGGGGAGCACGTAACAGACATGTGCAACTGTGGGCTAGGGTGATAATAGGATGGGCAGATAACAGTGAGACAGCATGATGGGGTGACTAGGAGAGCTGAGGACAAGCCCCGTCCAAGGCTTTCCCATGGGGCCCTGCCTGGAGGCTCTGTAGGCAGCAGGGTATAGAGCCCCCTTTCACCGGTGAGCTCTCCCTCCGCCTTCCGCCTCCCTGCAGCATTGCTGGTGGTTTCCATAGTTGTATTACCCCTAAGCGGAGGTCCTGATAGGGTCCTGACTCATGTAGGAGCTGGCAGTGGGGATGCCTTTCTTTGCATTATCACTTCTTTCTCTCTGTTGCCCACTATGGCAGTAAAGAACCAGGCGCGCTGGGTACAGCAATTCATTGGAGACATGGAAAAGCTGTTCCAGGTCACCGGTGACCCACACTTCAATATCATCATCACGGACTATAGCAGTGAGGACATGGACGTCGAGATGGCCCTAAAGAGGTCCAAGCTGCGGAGGTGAGGAGGTTCCCTGGCCAGCACACGGCCTTAGCCACCTGCTTTCTGAAGTCTCGGGACTGCTGGGTCCTAGGCAGAGCCCAAAGTCCCACCTGGCTTTCCCGAGTCCCAGTCTCTGGCTTTCTCCAGAGGACTCACCTGCCCATAATCCCATCTCAGGAGCACGCATCATCCCTCCTCCATGCCTGCTGGCTTCCTCCAGGGACCATCGCTGCTGAGCCCTGATACTCTGCCCTTCCCTCCTCTCTTCTCCCTGCAGCTACCAGTACATGAAGCTAAGTGGAAACTTTGAGCGTTCAGCTGGGCTTCAGGCTGGCATAGACCTGGTGAAGGTAATAACCTGGGAGGGGCTCTGGAGATGTGGTTACAGATTGGTTAAGAGGAGGAGACATTTGGGATATGTGCGGTGGTCAGCTCCTCACAGCGGGAGGGAATGAGGACACGGACGTTCCACTCTGCTATGGGGCAGGGCCAGTGCCAGGGTGGGACTGAACAAATGACACTGGAGCATTTGTCCTGAGTCCTTGCAGTTCATACATTGTGTAGGGAAGGCATCAGAACTCATTCTCTGACTCTGAGAATTGCACTCTGGTGCCCAGTACTATGGAAATCTGCCCAAAAGTTTGTATTATGGAAGTTTGTCCATTATTCAAATGGGAAGGACCTAAGGATCGTTCTAGGGAGTGGCCTGACCTCTGAGCCCTGGTCCGCAGGGTCTACTGACCCTCCCCAATTTGTCCCCAGGACCCACACAGCATCATCTTCCTATGTGACCTCCACATCCACTTCCCAGCTGGAATCATCGATACCATCCGGAAGCACTGTGTGGAGGGCAAGATGGCCTTTGCCCCCATGGTGATGAGGCTGCACTGCGGGGCCACCCCCCAGTGGCCTGAGGGTGAGCTCTGCCCTGGGCTGGGGAGGGTAGGAAAGTCCTCTCTGGCCTTGGTTCTTCATCCCAGAGCTGGAAACAACCACGTCTGCCATGACAGCATCCCCACCCCCTGCCTGCTGCTTCTGCCCATTGGATGGTCCACCAGAGAGGTGCCTGAGGGCTGTGCTCATGGCCACAGCAGCGGCAACGATGAACATTTCCTCCCCATCTTCCTTTCTCCCTTCACCAGACGTTTACTGTGTGCCAGACTCTATGCCCTGTGCAGATGGAAAAAAAATGGAAAGACAGGCTCCCTGCCTCTGGAGAGGGAAACAAATAAGGAAGGTGCACTGGGCTGTGCCTCCAGTGACTGCTGCTGTCAGATCCTGTTGTAGAGCCCATGGTCCTTCCCTTTTAGGACCGCTGCTTCCATTGGCCCCTGAACGTTAGCGTCGGGGGGCTTCCCCCCAGAACAGGCAAGGGACTTGTTCAAACGAGACAGCTTTCAGCCTCAGGCACCCCATCCTCTGTCTTTCAGAGAAGGCTCTGGGAATGCAGCCCAGAAGCCTTCATTGCTTCCTCCTGGCCCCTGGCTCATCTCACCGGGGGATTCTCGTCTGTCCACAGGCTACTGGGAGGTGAATGGGTTTGGACTGCTCGGCATCTACAAGTCAGACCTGGACAGAATCGGGGGCATGAACACCAAGGAGTTCCGAGATCGCTGGGGTGGGGAAGACTGGGAGCTGCTGGACAGGTGACTGGGAAAGGAGGGCATCTGAGGGACGTGCTGGGATCCCATCCCATCAGGTGCTCTGGGGAGGGAAGAGGGCTAGACGGATGGTGTCCCGGCCCCCTGGGCTGCAGACTCCTGAGATGCAGGTAAAGAGCACTGTACTCAAAGGAAGCCCCACCACTTACTGGGGGTCACATTACCTGCCTGGCCGAGACTCAGTTCTGTATGTATTAGAAGGGGGATGATACCGCCTCTGCCTGTGTCACAGGGTTGGCATGGAAATTAAAGCACATGGTATGCTGTCAGGGTAAAGCACAGCAAGGTGCTGTGGGAGAATATGGCTGCATTCTCCCGAATTGGAGCTCTCTTCCCCTCTGCCATTGCCTGGCTGGGAAGGCTGAGGCTGTGGGAATCGATAAGAGAGACAGGTGAAGGGGCAGGAAAGACTTGGGGGCTGACAAAAGAGGCAGTGTGGATCATTAAAGGGCAGCAAGATATCCAGGAGGTCCTGGTCCCTGGAAGCCCTGGGAGAAGGGAGTTTCAGGGAGGAGGAAAGAGTGGAAAGAAGGAGAAAGAAGAACCCCAGACAAGCTGCAGCCTTGGCAAGCAGGCGAGAAGAGGGTGCTGAAGCAGGAGCAGGCAGGCCGGGACCCCAAGTTGCAGGGGATCGTGGAGCGTGCTGGTGGTGAGGGAGTGGAGGCTGTATCAGTATGAGGTTCCTCTGTCAAGAAATTTGCTTTAAAAAGAAAGAAAGAAAGAAGGAAAGAAAGAAAGAAAGAAAGAAAGAAGGAAAGAAAAATTTGTTGCCAAGAGAGGCTACTAGACAGTAGCTTAGTAGAGCATGCGGCTCTCGATCTCAGGGTTGTGAGTTCAGTCCCCATGTTGGGGGTAGAGATTATTTAATAAGTAAAAGTTTAAAAAGAAAAGAAAGAAATTTGTTGCCAAGGGAAGGGGAGGGAAAGAGGATGATACCTTGAGGTTTGGGCTGAAGGGGCAGGGGGCAGAGGAGGGAAAGGGGAGACAGCAAAGAAAGAAGGGACCAGTGTCTAGTGGATGTCACAGACAAAGTCAGGAGCCCTGGAAGGGTGGGGACACTTCTAAGAGACAGCCAGCCATCACTGGAGGCCTGTCTTTGGCAGGTGATTTACATCAGTCCCTTGTTTGTTTGTCCCCAAACTTCTGTGAGGGGGTGTGGTTATCTCCATTTTCCAAACAAGAAAACAGCTTGAGGAGAAGTTAGTACCTGTCCTAAATCCCACAGCTAGGGAGTGTCCGGGGCTTAAAACTGGGTCTGTGTATGTTTTTTTTTCCCTCGAGGGAGAAAAGAAAAGGGAGATATGCTGTATATACAGAAGTTGCAAAGGAGGTAGTTTGAGGGAGCTCATATTAGGTAACCCAGCTCTCACAAAACTAGGCCAAAGCAGATCCCAAAGTGGATGGAAGACTAGTCTAGTGGTTACCTCCACCCTTGATCTCTCTGCCGGGCTGGGCAGATGCAGACTTCAGTACAGCCTTGCTGGAAGGACAGTCTCTCTGTGAGAGGGACCCCATGGGCTAAGCATACAGAAAAGCAATGGGGGAATCTGCTCCCTCTGCCTCCGTCACATACGTAATGTGTCCCCTGTAGGCTGAGCTCCTGGTGGTGGGCACAGGGTGTGTACCAGGAGCTGTACTGAGCCCTTCTTCCCATCAGCTCTAGCCTTTACCACCAGCCTCCAATGTGTGTGTGTGTGTGTGTGTGTGTGTGTGTATGTATTGTATTTATCAGAAAAAAACCTGCACAATATGAAATTGTGTTGTTCAAGAGTTGAGTGTATATTCTCCTCTTTTTTTTTTCTCTAATGTTTATTAATTTATTTTTGAGAGAGAGAAAGAGCGCAAGCAGGGGAGCGGCAGAGAGAAAGAATGAGGGAGAGGGAGACAGAATCCAAAGCAGGCTCCAGGCTCTGAGTTGTCAGCTCAGAGCCCAACGTGGGGCTCGAACTCACAAACCATGAGATCATGACCTGAGCCGAGGTTGGAAGCTAACGGATTGAGCCACCTAGGTGCCTCATCATCCTCCTCTTTCTAGAGATTGGCAAACTGGGACTCTGGAAGGTGACGAATTTTACGGGCTTTCCATAGTAAGGAGCTGGAATTCAAACCCAGGCTGGCTGGCTCCAAAGCCCATGCTGTGTGCCTGCCCTGTGGGGAGTAAACAGAGAGAGACAGAGACAGGGTCTGACATAGATGTATAGATGCGGGAGGGCGGGATCTTCAGGGGCCTGGGCCTCTCCCCAGCTGCCTCTTGCGCTTCTGTTGCTCACCCTGCCCCTCCCCTACTCAGGATCCTCCAAGCAGGCCTGGAAGTGGAACGTCTCTCCCTCAGGAATTTCTTCCATCACTTCCATTCCAAGCGAGGCATGTGGAACCGCCGCCAGATGAAGATGCCGTGATCCCGAAGGGTGGCCCACTGGACTGACTGCTTCCTGCTCCTTGACTTGTGCTCGCTCCCCAATGCCCCTACTCACTGTTGAGAAGGAGAGGGAAGGGGAGCAGAAGCCATGGCCGGGCCCCAAGAGGCCTCAGAGCTAACACCCTCACTCCCCTGAGAGCTGTCGCCTCACACAGACAGCTGCTGAGGCCTGTCTCTCTACCCTCGGGGCCTCTGAAGGGAGGACCTTGAGAGAGGGACCAGGAGGGGCCGTGCACTCAGTTGACAGAGATGGACCGGCTCCCGGGGAAGGCAGCACAGTTAAGGAAGGAAAGACCTGTTGGAGCAATGCCAACCTATCTGTGAGGTGCATTCCAGCATCCACCCACGCTCCTCCCAGGGAGTAGTGACCGTGCCCTGGAAACTCTTCTCTTGGACATACTTCATTGGGGTTTTTATTTTTCTAACATAAAACCAAAACTAACTGTCCAGACCCAGCACTGACTGTGAGAGAGGGATGGAGTCGTGCATTTAGGGTACATTCCCCACTTGCATACCTCAGACCCACTCCTGTGTAGCGATGTGTCCCTTGGTCCTTGACCCGGCAGCTGATTTATAACCAGAGGAGTTCTCAGCTCTACCCCAGGCTCGTGCCTTCCAGAGACACGCACATCTCTCCCAGGTAGCCACTGAACAGCTGGCCACTGATTAGGGCATTAACCTTACCCCCCAGGCGGTGCTAACTTCAGACTGACAAGAACACAGAAGTGGCATCATCCTCGCGGTGCCCCAGTGGGGTTGGGATTCTGAGAACGGGTGGACAGCGGGCTTTCATTCCTCGGCATCTGGCATACAGGCCGTGCAGGACGGGCAAGGTGGGTGGAGAAGGCAGGAAGAGAAGCCCCTTTCCCGACCCGCCTGTAAGCATAAGCCTTGGAGAGACCATGAGCAGAGAGGAAAGAGGATGGGAATGTAAGCCGTGGACTCAGATGCGAAGAGGAGGTGGGCATCCAGCAGGATGGGAGGAAAAGGAAGTGGAAATCCTGAGTCCCCACAGCTCTGCTCCCCCACAGCCTTGCCCTCCTGCAGGCGGATCCCCAGCCCTGGCCTTGCTTAGAAGAGGAAGGGGTGTGGGCAAGACAGAGGAACAGGGATCAGGGTAGTAAGGGGCAAGGCCACGGGTTGGGGGAGGTAAGGGCATCACCCTGTGATCTCTTCCCCAGTTGGAGGGGAGTGGGGCCCAGAGGAACCGAAAAGTGAAGCGACCCTTTCTGGCACCTGATGATCACACACTTCTCTTGCACTAAAAATCCCCTGGGGCCTTTGGGGCTGGGTTTTTTTTTTTGCCGCCGCTGCTGCCTCTGCCGCTGCTGCTGAATTGATGAACAGTGTGTGGGTGTGTCGGACACTTGCTGTGGAACTTCAGTGTCTGCTTAGGGAGGGGAACGCAGAGCTTGCCGCTGCTGGGAGGAAGCACTCCTAGCTGGTGCAACAGGGCCCAGGATGCCAGTCAGCGGAGCCCCACAGAGCTGTGCTGTGATAGAGTCCAAGTCACAGCATTTGGAGTTGCAGGGTCTACCCGGTGGGCCTTGCATTCACCAAGGGCACATGCTTGGCATCTAGGAGATTGGGGCCCGTTGAGAACCTTCTGGAGGTTGAAGAGAATTCCCTGCCCCTCTCTAAGAAATCAGGAAGAACAAAGAGTTTCCAATTAATAGGCTGTGGCTGTTGGATGCCATAGCTGCCCCCTGGGCTATGGGTTTTCTCAGAGCCCGCTCAGGCTTACTGCCTTTGGGAAAGGACTTCAGGGAGTCGGTGAGAGCTATGGTTGGCTGGCTGGGGTGCCAGCTTTCTCTCTGGGGCCAGGGTCACCCTTGGGCATGGCACTGGAAGGCCTGAGCCAACCCAAAGAGCTCTCCAACTTCCATTCTTTTGATGACGGGAGCGAGCCTAGCCTCCTAGGCCCTGCTCGCACACCTCTCTGACCCTGGCCAGTGCCTTGTGTTTGACTTTGTTACCTCCACACCATCTGCCTTAAGTGGGGGGGCCTGGTAGGCCCCTGCTCTGTAGGGAAATGTGTTGGGTGGGGGGAGGGAGTGGGATGGGGGGAAGGAAATTGTTAAATACAGCATCTTCTTAGAAAACGAAGTGGCTCGTGTGTTTTTCCCCTTGCCCATCAAGATGGGAGAGGGGTGGGCTAAGAGGCCCGGGGTTCACGTCTCTGTCCCTTAGTAGTCAGGCCTCTGATGGATGTGCCAAGGACCCTCCACACCACCCTCCATCCTTTACCATTAGTTGGGTGCCTGCTGTGTGGGGAACTGCATGGTTTACTCTGGAAGGGGCCGGCACTCTTCCTGCCTGCAGAGTTCACGGTCTGATAGCAGACTGGGCATTTTCTGCTCAGCAGATTTGTGGAGATTGTGGTTTCAGTGGGGAAACGCTGATGGACACCCTGGGTGAAGAAGGCTAGACATAGGGCCAGAATGGTTTGGTCAGCAGCAGAGAGAAGCCAAGATGTGACTTATTTTAAAGTAGCAGACAATCTAAAAATCATTTCTGTTTGAGCTACGGATGCCCTGTTGGCATTTTATGGGTGCAAATTTACCTTTCTAGTTCTGTTTTGCATAGGCAAAGATCAAAATGAGTTTGTATGCCTTAAGTACATGCCTAAGAGAAAGTGCTAATTTGAAAGCTATGATAGGTTTATAACAAGTTCCCAAAAAGGATTGCGCATACATGGATCAATCCAGAATTGACTAATCTGCCACTGATGTAGCAGGTGGTAATTAGCCCAAGGCAGGCGGGGCCAGGAAAGTTGACTCAGCAGAACCCAGAGAAGAGGGAGTGATTTAAAAGATTTTTCTCCCTCCGGACTTAGGTTTGCTCCTTCAAGCTCTTTCCAGTTGCTGGAGAGGGCATCCAGAGACCAGCCCAATGCATCAAGACTGACTCATAGTGGATTTGCAGAAAACTTTATAGAAATCATTCCATTTTACAGAAAGGGAAAACTGAGGCCTGGAGCAGAGGAAATGGATGGGGCAGAGGGGAAGGAATGAGGTGGAGTAAGAACCAGAGTCCTGAAGCTGGGCGGGCTTGACCTTAGATAGACATGTCTTAGGTTCTGGAGATGCTACTAGAAAGACTGGCAGTACCCCAGTCTGAGTTCAGGACTCCAGACCAAGATGGGATTCACTTAGACCAGTAAAATAGTACATCTTATTTCAGATGCTGTGGGTAGGGATCGAGGGCATCTACACAGCCCTTTTTGGAGCTCTCCCAGGGGCTGTGGAAAGTGCCCGTCAGCCTAACAGATCAGGGAGGAAAGGTGGAAGCAGTTCCAGACCCAGGACCTGTAGGGGAAGCAGAGAAGAGGCAGTGAGGAGGGCAGGCCAGACCAATGGCCCTCAGGCTTTAATGCACACACAATTCCCCTGGCAGCCTTTTGAAAATGTAGATGCCCATTCAGTAGATCTGGAGTGGGGCCGGACAGTCTACATTTCCTGCAAGCTTCGGTGTTTTTGCTGCTGGTCCAGGGACTACAGTTTGAGTAGCAAGGACTGCTGGGCAGCGCCAAGGAGGAATCCCTACTGCATCTTCCCTCTTGCCAGAGGGGCAGAGCCAAGCACTAACCACACTGGCTATAGAAAAACCCATCCCAGGCTATAGAAAAGCTCAAGCTTAATTGCCGAGGAAGAGTCACCTGTTTAACAGCACGTGGGGACTTTCTGGGCCCAGATCCAAGCTCTTCTCTAAGATCCCCTCCTTGCCTCAGATCTCTTTCCCCTTTTGCTTGCAAAGATGTCACTTTACCCCAAAAGCCCAGAGCTGAGAAAAGGGTCATTTGGCGACCTTCCATCCTCCCTCACCTGGGTCGCAGGCTGTGTTCAGAGGGGATTCCTTGAGGTCCTGGCGGCCAGGAAGCCTGTCTTCTGTGCCCCGAAGGCTGTAATGAAGACGTTGATGATGACAGTGATGAAGACCAGGGTGGTGGCGGCGTTGTTGAGCTGGTTGAGCTGCCATTGCTTTTCTACTTCATTGAGGTTCAGCCGCGCTGTGGACAAGGGTGGGGGGAGTGGGAAGGGAGGGTCAGGGTGGGGCCACAGCCCCAAACTTCCCTCACCGCATCCACTAGAGGTCAGAGAAAGTCTGGCACCTCAGAGACCTGCGTGGCAGAAAGCAAGGGAGGTGGTAGTCATTGCATTAAGCTGCCTTCTCCCTCACTGCCCAGTGCATGGGGCATCCACACGGTACTTAATGGAATAGGGATTTGGGAAATTATCCTGGGTCATAAGAGTGGGGATGGGTGCTCACACAAAAGGCAGTAGGGAACCTCTGCTACAAGTAAGTGAAGGTATTGTGGAGTGACCCCAATGTGTGATACCAGGAGGTAGGATAGGGAGCCTGCTCTCACTGTGGAGGAGTTGTTACTTGGGCGGTTGTCATGCGGAGGGCTACCACCAGGTTAGTGTAAGGCTGAGAAACTGGCGCGTGCAAATGCGGGGGTGGCTCCGGGAAGCCAGTGAGGCTTTTCTTTCCACTAGGGGGCGCCAAGGCCGAGTCCAGGCCTGGGCTCCTCACCGATGACCACAAGCAGGATGCCAATGACCACGAGCAGGAGCAGAGAGATGCTGATGAGGGTGACGAGGGTGGTGTAGTAGTGGGCGGACGGCCCCTGCTCCAGCACCGCTTTCAGTCGCGTGGCGTTGGACACGAAGAGGGCCACGTCCAGCATGCTCTCAGCCACGCTCTTCTTGGTGGCATAGTGGTTCAGGTTGATGGGCTGGCTGCCCCTGGGGTTGGGGTTCCCAGGCTGTAAGGGAGAAAGCACAGGCTTACCTTGAAGGCTCCCGAAAGGGAAGCAGTTGAGAGACTGGAAAGAGGTTTTAAAGCTCTCCTGTAACCTGGTGGTAAACCCAGAGCAAGCAGCACCCTTCTCAGTTTTATGGCCTGAAAGAATAAAGAGTTGGACTAGAAAGCCCTTACGGACCTTTGAACTTGGAAATGATGGAATGTTGTCATTTATGTTTCCCCAGGGTCACGTTCCCTCACACGGCAGGGGGAGGGGAGGGCCTCAGCCCCTTGTGAGATGCATCAACCTCATTTCATTCTCTGTGTTGCCTGGGCCCAGCCTGGCCTTGGGCCGCTCTCTTTTCCTCTGAAAGGAAAGCATCTCAGAACACAATAGGAGGAGCTCTGAGACTTGGGGGGAATAGGAAGGGCACCTCATCTCCCAGAATGATGTGGTCCTGAGGCGGGGTGCACAGCTTAGCAAATGTGTCAGGAGCCGTGTTTGGATCCCACTCAACAGAGTGGCCAAGAGCCCTGAGGCCACAGCCATGCACATCAGAATGCATGTCTGTATGCACACAGCGATGCATGCTAGTGTTTTGGGTTTTTTGGCTAGGATTTATTGACATATAATTGACATTTGATTTGATTTTGAAATATAAAACAAAGCTCTTATTCTCAGGAAGTCACTAACTCCGAAAGATGGAGTGGCAACATAGGGCTTAGGGAGCAGGCCTCTGGTTTGGGCCCAGAAATTCAGACTGGATGCTGCAGGCAGAGTCCGCAATCACTCAGGAGAACTTGGGTGTGTTTTAGGGAGATAAATTTAGGAGCGGTGTTTGGAATGCATGGGCCCAGGCGGGTCCAGAAGCAGGGAGATCCACTGAAAGACTATGGTCTGATTTAGGATCAGGGTGACAAGGAACTGTGGGAGAGTAAGTGAGAAAGGAGAGGAAGGCAGAACTTTGAAAGATGTGACAGCCTGGAAGGAGGGTGGACCTAACCCTGCAGATGACCACAGAGGTTTTCTATTGAGTGGGTGGGTGGGCGGATGGAAGGATGGATGGGGCAGGTCTCAGAGGGCTCTGGATGTTCCTTCTGGATGTTGGGCTTATCCAGAGCCAGCTGGCCTGGTTGGTTGGGGCTAGGGATGCCAAGGCCAGTGCCCCACAAAGGCCTCAAAGCTACAGCCCATGGTTCTAGCCCATTTGGTAAAGGTTTGTCCTGGGTACAATGGACACTTATTAAATGACAGAGTCTACGGAGCAGCCCCCAGGCCTCTCCAGGGTTGGAAGGGCTCTGACTAGGGAACAACTGTGAGCAGGGCTTCCCTGCCCGTGGAGTTTCCTGTTGGTCATCCCCACTCCTCCTGTCCTTGTCCCTCCCTCCAGTTTCCCCCATAGCTTGACACTTTCTACTCCCTCCAAACCCAGCTCTCAGTTCAAGATCTAGTAAACCCTGAAATTACTGTGAAAGCATCTAAGGAGACCCCTCTCTTAAAATTTGCATATTAACAGTGGACAAAACCTTAAACCCAAAGCTCTAGTGTTGTGTTCAGAGCATTGCCCAAATACTGTGTGAGGGGCTGGGGGACAGAAGGGGCTGTTTGCTTGGGGACACAAAGATCTTCCCAAGCTTTAACAAAAAATATTGCTATCTATAAGTTTTAATAGAGCCAGCTGGCTTCTGTTGTTCAATGGCTCTAAGAAAGCCATTGTTGGGGCACCTGGGTGGCTCAGCTGGTTAAGTGTTGGACTTTGTCTCAGGTCATAATCTCGAAGTTCGTGGGTTTGAGCCCCTACACTGGGCTCTGTAATGACAGCTCAGAGCCTGGAGCCTGCTTCAGATTCTGTGTCTCCTTCTCTCTCTGCCCTTCCCCTGCTCACGCTCTGTCTCTGTCTCTCTTTTTCTTTCTCAAAAATAAACATCAAAAAATATATATTTACAAAAAAAGGAAGAAAAAAGCCATTGTTTCACAGAGGGTACAGTCCTATCTTTCCCTCTTTGATTTAGGGCCTGCCTCTATTTTGGTTTGTGCTGATTCAGGGCTACTTTCTAGCTAAGGATGTTTTTTCAGTGTCTGGTTTGGTGGCTGTGGGAATGTCTGCAGAGTGCCCCCTCTGAGCCCCAGAAGGCTCCAGATCTCCAGAATGTCCACATGGTGGCACACAAGGTCCAAAGAAATGACTGGGGCAGCCCGGCTGCACGGGCGCCAGGATGGTGTTTCTCCCCCGAGGGATCCATGGGCAGGACAGGATAGGACTGGCCTGAAACCTGGACCCCTCAGAGGCCCAGCA